GAAAAGGAGAAAGCTCTCTACAGCTGAGACCCTCCATTTCGGCGGTCGAAGTCACTTGATTTATCGAATGGGCAGCAGCAGGGCGAACGATACGTTATTAACCGTTGACGAGCTACGAAATGTGGGCCACAGAGCGTTCGAGGTTCATCAGGAGGCTAACGGTTATGAAAAATGCCAATACGATCGTTCCTCTCGGAAAACCCTACCTTCTCGTTTATCGGCGAATTTCGTTTAACCGCCGGATATCGTATTTATCTTTGTACGTTCGATTGTCGATCCTCCATCATTCCCACGATTGCTGAATTTGATTTGTTCCATGAATACTTCGGGAAAGGGTGGCTGGCAGAGTTTTCGAGAGTGTAGGCGACGAACGCGGATTACACCGCAATATAGCTCGCGTGAAAATTGAAATTCAGCGATGTAACCCGAGCGAGGGGAACACGTCTCGAGAGTGAAATTTCTCCTTAGTGGTGGAAACTTAATTTTGAATATTCACCGGAGTAATATGACTCGCGAGTAAACCCTTTATTCCAGACATTTCCACGAAATGCGCTCTTCAGATCGCTGTCATTTTGATTTTGATGCATCTTACGTATTTTCGATCTCGACGTTACCTCCGAAACTTTCATTTATGTGAAATGGAAGTTCGAAAAGTGTTTCATCCTATCCTTCTCCAGGAATCTAGAATTTCTCAGTTTCTGTTTTAATCTTATTCCTGGTATTTTCATACGTGTCCAGATTTTTTAATTTCTTCGTCCTACGACGTACTAGATTTTGTTTCAAACAGCTGTTATTGTTAGCGAGGTTTATAAAGATTACTCGCATTTCTGGCAACTGTCAACCTACGTGTACAGCTTCAGCTTGCAGTTTTGATTTGTTCAAGATTTCGAATATATCTGAGTAAATCGAAGCGTTTGCGATAATATGACGCGTATTCAAGCGATGGTTCGTGGAACGCGAACAAACGCGTGTAAGCTTCATGCCCTTTTTAAATCGTCGATATACGGGGATTTCCATTGCGACATTTCATGCGTCGCTCATACGTCAACGTCGCTATCTCGTTAACTGTCGAAAGGACGAATTCGATACGACGCGACGTTATAAATATAGATTTACAGAATCACCTCTTCTAACGCTATAGACATGATTTAAAGCATTCTATATTCAAAATTACAAATTGATGAATGTTTGATTTCTGAGAATCAAAGTATACAATTTTCTTCAAAATATTTAGTGTTTATTAGATCAGACACGACATTCTAAATACTTATTTTATCGTTGGCACAAAAATCTCCTTACTACAAAAGATTCGTTGACTGATAATGGAATATGAGCGAGTGCGTTGTTGCGATGTATTATTTTCAAGCAAGCAATTACTTATCTGGGTCCTTCTGCACAGATTTACGAGTCACAAATTACCAGTAGTAATAAATTTTCTTGCGTAACAGCAACACGTTGGATAATAAATCAAACAAGATTTTACAATCTACAAATCATATAACTACCCTATTTAACATAAAAGTGTAAAATTATGAGAAAGAAGTCTGTAACCTACAACTTTTAGCTTGTCAATTCACTGATATTACTGGTAAATTATTGTGCAGAAGGGTTTTAATGACTCCATATCAACAAAACCAATTAAACCGAATATATATTATATATAACATAAATACTTGAATAAAATCCGTTGATCCACAATGATTCATTCATTTTCCATTGGAGCTACGAATTTGAGTTACGAAGTTAGCTCAGATCGCGTATAGAAACGTAGTAAACCAAGATTCGATATTCGAAGTATAAAAATTCTCGCATAGTTTCACACGAAATAAACCGCAGCGTATTCAATATCGTGCTACTTTACACAAAAACCTTTCACTTCATTTTCTCGAGCAGGAGCTATTTCAAAAAATCAAAAACCCATCGCGCCACGGTAGCATCGCGTTCTTAGCGTTGCCAGTACACCGTAAAACAACAATTTCAAACGTTATTCCTTCCAAGCCGCGCACCTTGCTCGATTTAAGTTCACGACTTGCAACCCTCAAGAACCGACCCTCCAAATATCGCACCTTTTCACTCGTAGAACAACGCGCGGAGAGCAGAACCTCTCACACCGAGCCGAAACTGTTTACGACAGCAACGGTGCGCGCGTTTAGGCATCTATTTGCAAAGAGAGCGCGGCGCGGCGCAACGGGGCGACGATAAACCGTATCCGAGACAGCCAGCAGCCGAGTGGAAATAAAGAGGCGGTTGGAGACGAACTTTATCCTAAGAATAGCAAGTGCTCGTTACTCCTATTTCCTACGAGCTGTACCTTCGCACTAGCATTCTCCTTTTCTTTGTTTCTTCCTCTTTTATCTGTGCAACCCTATAGATCGCGTTTTAGGTTTTAGCATCGTGTAGTATGTTAGTCGTCGAGGACCTTGATCGTCGTCAGTTTCTTCGATATTCAACACGCTAATATAAGGATAAAATTGCAGATAATTGCACGAAATTTTGTAACCCTATGAATTCAGGATAAGATAGGACTATTTCAGTAAAACTATAAGCAACTTGATATGCAATTCTTGGAATCTGATTGTAAATCGTTGTATGATTTATATTTGAAGACTGCAAAGGAAGAGCATGATATTGTCAAAGTTTAATTTTTTTCAAAATTGTCCTTTTATTTGTTTTCGATGCTCCTTGGTTCACTTTCTTTCGTAAGAAAGAAATTAATAATATCAGTTTAGTTTATTGTATTATGTTTAACTTAATACCTTTTGGATATTCATGACACTGACGAAAACATATATCTAATCCCAAAAACAAATGAAAAGATCTTAAAAGATTTTAACGTGAAATTGGCCAGTAACATATTGAATTTTATAGTTAGTCTTTCATAAAAGACAAGAAATATGAATCGTTATATTTTTCATTTGTACCCGAAATTCCATTTTCTCTTCGTGTCAGATGCTAGTGGTATCTGATGAGGTATAACAAGTTCAACTATTCTGTACGAAGTTCAAAGTTGTATTTTACAATATATTGTATCTTACTTAACTCAGATAACTCAACAGATTGTTGCTCTAATATTATTGCGTCAATCGAAGGCACTTGGTTCTCGAAACAGGTTGTAGAACTTGTGTATGAGTTTAACGAGCGATGTTATCATCGTCTGTTGTATAGGAAATCGCGTCGGTGGAATTTGTCCGTCTGCTTCGATCGCTAACGGTAGTTTTATTCTAATTGACGAGCATGGATGACGATGTTGCAAGCTCATAGATGGTTCAGGATGGGAAACGGATGCGTTTCGATGCGTAACGAGCGCGGGAGACTATTGAACGAGACGGTTCGTCGCTCGTCGCGCCAATAAAATCTTATCATTCCGGAACATTGTGTTCAGAATTACGAGACACGAGGTTCGATTCACCGAATTCGGTGACCCCGTCTTTATTTCACCAACTCCTTCGAAGCGTGTCGCGCAACTACCCCAGGTTGTTTGCCAATGGAGTGATTCGGGTTTCCAGAGAAGTTTAGGATGGACTGAGCGTGGCTTGCGACACATTGCGATGAAATCGTAGCACCACTGTTTTCGATTCTGGCTCTGGGGTTTGTTTAAGTAGATTGGTTTGCTTCCTTTTTCTTTGGCGAGTTTCTGAAACAGAGCCCAGTTAAAATTATTTGAAGTTGCAGCGATAAAATAGGTTAGGTTTTTTAATTAACGTTTCTACTCGCGAGTTTCTATATATGCGAACAGAATGAAAGGTAGAGGCACGATATATTTCAATAGCTTCGGTTAAAGAAACGAGATCTAATTTAATAAAAGGAGAACACTTTGGAGAGAACGGTTTCAATTCCGAAACTGTAATATATTACACCAAAAAACACGGCAACCTATTCGAACGAATTAGAGTAAAGCTCGTGTTTCCTGAAATTCACGTAGCTTTCTAGGAAGATATTTGGCAGATGCGAGTTACCTCTTCAAATTACGACTTGCAATTCTACATGCTCTAGTTGCACCGATGTAAACTCACCCCCAAGTCTTTTTCAACAATGTAACTCGATATTGCTTTCTACTTTTACATCGACGTTACTTCAAAATTATCTGAAAATGCCATATGTAAGAAATTTACAAAAAAGAGCACAAGAAACTGAACCAATTCTAAGTATGATCAATATACGCGCTGTTACTGATATACAGTGACAAGCAAAAGTGTAAACACACTCCGCTGATTTTATGTAAAAGGCGATACCACGACCAATTTTTCAAGTGATCGGTAAAAATTAGGTAACAGTTACTACGAGCTACGCCTGATTAACGAAATGTAATAGTTCATTTTCATTAACATTAATAATGTACAGAATATTTTATAATAATTGTGTTTTGAAACAATGTTTATAGTTTTGCACGTTTCGTCAGAAACGTTTATAATAGCATGTAAATGTCAGAGAAACGAAACGTCAATAAGCACTGATTGTCCACTGTTTCGCAGTCAACTGTCCCACACCATTGTTAGATTACTTTTCAGTTTGATATGCTTAATCCAAGAAGGTATAATGCGAAAGAACATTATTTGACCATTCTACAAAGTAATTTACCTTCTGTAGTTAATTCTATTGGATATAATGAACGTGAAGTAGTATTTCAACAAGACGGGGATCTTAAGCATACTGCAAAAATAGTTAAAACCTGGCTAGAAAATCAAAATTTTTCTGTGATGAACTGGCCAGCACAAAGTCCGGATATGAATCCAATCGGAAATTTGTGGTCCATTTTGAAAAGAAGCCTGGCAAAATATAATAATCCATCTTTAGGTGTTCATGAATTATGGGAAAGAATACAACAGAAAAGGTACAATATTGAACCACAAATAATTAATAATTTAATTCACTGTATGCTTCGTAGATTAAAAGCATTAAAAAAAAGTAAAGGAAGGTGGACGAAATACTAGATTCAAACCTTAATTCGACGAGTATAATTAAAGTGCAAAAATTTAAACATGGTTTGAAATGTCCATTTTTATAAAATTTTCTGTACATTATTAATGTTAATGAAAATGAATTATTACATTCCGTTAATCAGACGCAGCTTGTAGTTACCTAATCTTTACCGATCACTTGAAAAATTAGTCGTATTATCGCCTTTTACATAAAATCAGCGGAGTGTGTTTACACTTTTGCTCGTCACTGTATATGTCGCGGCATTTTGATTATTTTAAACTTAATTGCTAGACTTCGAGCGATAATTTAAGAAAATATTTAAGAAACAAATGAAACAGACAGCAAGGAGGATAAAATAAACACTGTTAATTAAACTAAAGGCGTCTCATATAGTTGTATTTAAAAGACAAAAACAATGCGAAAAACGCGAAATATTTCGCCATGTCTTGAAAAGTGGAAAAACATGCTAGACAGGATAATCTTAACTAAGGACGGTAACGAACGTTCGAGTCTCAGAAATTACTTTCCATTTAAAGGAAAGTCTGGTAGCCATTTAACGATAGGCACTCGTACCGATACGAGTACAATTGAACCGTCCAACCATCGCATTAAATTTACAGTACAAAGGACTGAGATCTCGAGACTTTTCACGTTAACACGTCCAGTTAATTCTCAAAAGTTTCCCTCGTGGCCTGCTCGAGCAACGAAAGTTCCAGGCGAATGGAAAGAAACGCGATGAAGGGGCGCAAAGTTTCGTGAGGCTGGAAGCTCGATACGAGTCGATCGAGCAGAAGTGACTGCGAGTGGGCCGATCCTCTGGCTGAATTATGTACTCTCATATGTGGGTCGAGCTGATATACGGCTCGCCCTTCTGAAACGTCATTCTCTTTTCATTGCTGGCCGTGCACGCTTCTCCTGCAAGTGGCACGGCTCTTACTGGCCAACCGATCCTAAAGCGGATCCTGCAACGATACTCTTAAATCACTATGTACAAACCATATCATGCGGTAAAGAATACTCGTGTACTTCTTGCGAACAATTTTATTTAACCCATTAAAGACCAAGAAATGATGGGTAAATGCACCTTAAGTGACTCAACTTAAGTAACTGTAAGTAAAGTCACTTGCGTACCACTTTATCAAGATATAAGCAATGTATTATAGTAATAGATACTTTTCAAAAATTACATACATCAAAGATACAAGAAAACTTTTCATAATTTAAAGAAAAATAGATTATCGTATATATAAATATCAATTCTTTTTGTGTTATAAATATTAGGTTGTCCGGAAAGTTTCTTATGAGAAAATGATAGTTATGAGGAAATGATAGACGCACAACGTTTTTTGTTTTATATTATTTTGTCGAATTACGTACGATCCATTTTATTCTGTTGACATAAACACCGCGACATTTCACAGACTTCGTTTCACGTTTGTATGAAGGTGCGCTGTTGTAAAAAGCACGTTTGCGAAAGAAAGACACTTTTCGGACAACCTAATATATCGATTTTTTACAATAGTATTGTATAATATTAACGAAGCAATACCTAGGCCATGTTTTCAGTAATGTTACGTTTATGCAACTTATATATATTATTTCACTGTAACGGTATTCTAATCTTTACCAATATCAATTCACAGTTTGAGCTTGTTACTTCTGATTATAACCTGGCCAATACCAATACCTGGCTGTATCAATAGCCAACAATCTGAGGTGGCGCCGTCTGGACACTCTAAAAGTTGAAATTTTTACATACGTTATTTAACAACGGTCCTGCGCATGAATTATAATGTTGCAACGTCGTAAAATACATAGTCAACGCGTTTCCGCTTTTATCGAGGCGATTTTTCGGCGCGTTTAATTTTTTCTTTTTTTTTTCATAATGCCGTATCGTTGATATACGACCGGTTCTCCAGTGGAGGCGCGATTTAAACGATCGTTATAAGAAAAGTGGCACACTCTTGAGTTTTTATTAGGAGGCATAATGTTAAGCGTGATGCTGAGGCACGAGCTTCGAGCTGACCGTTTATGGTCGTGAATACCGGTGCACGAGAACCACTTTGCTTCTATCGGTATTTCTTCGTGGAGCGATATCCTTTGCGTTGATGCTGTCGCGCTCTCTTCGAGTCGGGAGAGCCTGTAATTCACCAGCATGTTCGAATGCAAATTGCTTCAGCTCGAGATGACATTCTTCCGAGACGTTTGGGTTTCCATAAGTACATCGGCTTGTAATTTGTGGACTGGATGGAAGAGATTCGGAGTTAGGTAAATGGGATTGTTGATGACGTAGTTGTAGACTGTGTACTATAGAAAATTCGCATGGTTTACCGAAGATCGTAATAGAATCATCTTTTTTCGAGAAACATTGTTTGTAAGAGGAACGATTTTCAAACAGAGTGTTCCTTCTTGTTGACGGAGGAAACAAATATTCAGTTTCCGGTTAATTGGACCAACTATTTTTATGTGACGCTCAGTTAAATCCAATCTACTTTTTAAGTGAGTTTGTTGTTATCTACTTGTGTTTTAAATTATTAATATAAACATTTGCAAACTACTGTTATAAACTGTGACGTTTTCCCATTATCGATTTTTAATAACTTTCAATGACTTTCAATATTGTTCCAGTCCAAATCACAGTACTTTATTACTTGTTTATTATTTCAATTAATATTGAATTTTTCACCCCTGAAATGTCAAACAGATTGACAGTGTAGCTAGAAAACAAGCTGTAACTGAAAGTTACTTACAATTTCTATATGCACAAATATTTTTTGACCAACCAATTTCGAGCAAATTTCAAGTCGCAAATACTTTATAAATAGGATAAAGAAGATAGTTTCTATATGGGAAAAGGTGATAGAAAACAAAAGAGAATACATTGGTAATTAAAACGAGTATGATATTTCATCCTAATTTCATGTCAAACTTCTCATAAAGAAGGGACGAAACTAATGAAACGATCCAACGTCAAATACTAATAATAGTCGGATAATTCAGCACTCGCAGAGTACTGACTTTAAATTACGGTCTTTAGTCGCAAACGACAGACTGATTAATGGGAAACAAATTGAAGAGGGCTCCAGAAGTGGCGATGATGCGGCCCCGGAGTTAATATCAGGTTATCTAAAGTCGGCGACGGTTCGTTTGAACGAACGAGGAGACATCGGTTGCCGTGGTGGAAAACGCCTTGAGAATAACTTCCAACCTTTGTAATAGCACAGCCAGATAAGAATTAAATTGTTTCCGCGATAAGGGAGCGAGGAAACGGTTCGGAACTTGTCCGTGAGGCAATTCTGACGAAGTAAGCGATATGGAAACGAAATGAAGTTTAGGCATCGTAATATTATTTAGCCCTGGGCGTGTTTTCTTTGTGCAGACGGCGTGCGTTTCTTGCGCACGACGTTTCCCTCCTTTTACGTCGCTGAATTTATACGGAAAATAGAACGTCGAGGTTCTTGTCTCTTTCTCTCTCTTTCTCTCTCTTTCTCCCTCCTTCTTTCTCTCGCTCTCTTTCTTTCTCTCTCTCTCTCTCTCTCTCTCTCTCTCTCTCTCTTAGCCCTTCTTCAGCTCACTTGAATCGCTTCCGAGAAAATCGTTGAACGTTTTCACATTGCTACGACGCCTGAATTACCCAGACGAAGGAATTTGCTTGAGATTCTGATAGAATCACCTGCTCACTCACTGTCGCTTCGTAAATTTTCAAATTCCACAATATTAAAACAAAGATCTCAAGTTATGATTTCATTCTTGTATAATCATCATAGTTGAGAATAATAATAAAGTGCTTCCAAAAGTCTCGAATTATTTTCTTCTTTTCTTGTTGCTTTCATGATAATCGCTATTAACTTGATATTTTGTTTCTTTATTAGAAAACAATGCATGCGAAATTCATGCATATTTGGGCTGTTACTAAAGTCCCTAGAAAACTCGGATAATTCCAGACTTTCAACCAGGCACCGCGTAACGTACGCGTTTAGATCTTTTAATGGACATAGAGAGGCAAAAGTGGAGAAAAAAAGTTCGTACGTGTATCCGCATTCGTGAATGTTCAGCGACTTTTAAAACACACATTTCTTTCTTCGGCCGCAAAATGTGCTTCTCCGCTTTCAAAATGTCTAGCTAAATGCTCGTCAAATACGTTTCCCCGTCTAATTTTGCTAGAAACGTGAAAATTGTTCATTAACTCGATAAAATTTCATGTTTACACGACAAACAGCGACGAAAAATGCTTTTTAAAATACGTTAAAATACATTTGGTTTAAAACAAAGATTCTTAACCTTTCTAGGCTACGAATTTTTTCGTAGCCAGAGAGAAAATGGCTTTTTAGTACTTGTGAATAAGAGAGACACATTTTTGCAATTATATTCGCGAAGGAAACGTAATGCATAAAAAAATAAATGCACATTAAAAAAAATAAATTTATTTATTTGAGTAAATTAATGATCTTACGCATATGCAATATTGAGCATGAAAGGTGTATCTCAAATAAAGAATGAAAGCTTTTAATTTACGTTGTGTATCAAAGTCTTCTTATTGTTTTAATATTATGTATAATTGTATATAAGCCACACTTGTGACTAGAAATCTGTTTGAATAAATGAACGCGCTTGGCATTTTAATGGGGAATAGAACACGACATAGGTATATGTATTTAATTACTACTGCATAAATGATCAAAAGTAATAGTTACTAGAACTTAATAATTACTATTGACTTTCAATACAAGTTTATATACACACTGTCTTTAACAAAAATCAAATTAAAAAATAAAAATATTCCCTTTTTGATTAAAATTTCGCCCAGTAAATTTGTTACATTTATTACGAAAACATTGCTTCTTCCATGCACAAATGTATAATGTATTTCCATGCACGTGGACGTTACATTTGTACGTGACACTTAAAACGTGACGCTATCCTTGTAGCCATTTCTACTCGATGCAGAATAGTGACAGAAACTGGCTCATCATCCGATGAATTAGCTACGCTCTTCGTTATGTAACGAAATATGTTTCCCTATGTTATATAAATTGACGAAAATTCATTTTTACGGCTCAGCATTCCTTTCGTTAAAAAAGAACTGCAGAAAGTGTGGTTTACTTCCCCATTTCTCCGCCAGACATTACATCTTTCGAGTTTTCGTAGTTTCGCGAAAGATCGGTGTACTAGGAGAAGATCTTGCACGCGATGCAACATTTCGAGGAACATCGATTCGTTGCAGCATCCCAAGAGGAAATTAGTTTCATCTTCACCTCTTGTTCGTCTCTACCTTGAGTTTTTCATGGACGCGGCCGCCCTATCGGCAGGAATGGCGCAACAGTAGATAAAGCACGTCTTGGCGCGACAATGGCCGTTTCATTTAAGAAAGGACGCGTCCTCGCGTGTATCGATCCAACTGTGGCCGTGATGAAGAGCCGTGGCAGGTCTCGGGTCATTCGTCGAATCGACGTTAAACATAAATCCTGCTTAACGAAGCCATTTCTTCGCTAAACGCGATTGAATCACACACGAAGCGAGACTGTCTGTTATTGTCGCTCGAAAGGTCTTCATCGGCTGTAAGGGGGTAATCTCTTTGCTTTCGCGAGAATTGTAATAAGTCTTTTAAACAATCGGAAGGCTCGGAACATGAGTTACTCTTGCTTTTGCTCGTGTCTGTTTTTCTTGAGAAAACGAAAGAATTCTCCAGTGTCTTTAATTTCTGTTTAGTCTACTTACATTCCGAAATATATCCGAATACATTTTCTAGTCAGGTAATAGAGTTATGAAGTTTTTATTTATCACGTATATACGAAAAGAAAAATAAAATTCTTTAAAATAAAAAATAAGATAATTACCAAACGAAGTATAGGTGATTTTGAAAAACTGGAACAATTCGCTATTTGGTTCGTTTTCCTAGAAATTCTCCAATTATTCTATAAAACAACAATTTTCGAAATTACCAAACACATTTCCTACTTTCGTGGAACTTTTACAAATTCGAAAATTAGTATTCCGTATTCGAGAAGCGGTATCAAAGTCACATTTACGACTCGTCTGAGAAAACAATCCGCCACGTTTCTAGGCACAATAGTCAATTGCTCATCAAGTACGGTATAAGAAAGATTAGAGGATAATTTAGTGCTCGTCGCGAAGAGATGAAACACGTTCTCAAGAATGTTTGACATCCTACAGCGTTCTCGATCGTCTTCCTTATCCGTTCCTTGATATATCTTCCCCTACACGGAACGTATATCGTTCCGAGTGTCGTTCATTGAACTGCCAAATTAGCATAATTCCTCGTTTGGGATAAACGAAGACGATTCTCCAGGCGTTGGTTGCAACGGGGACACGAGAGGAACCTCTTAGTGATCGATTTAGGTTGGATCGAGGTCGCAAAAAGGAATAACCGAAAACGGCCAAGTCTTTCAACGCAAATACATCTTA